TTCCAGTGCAGCGTTGCCCGCACCAGTCTTATCCTCTATCGAATGGGAGCCCGTTCGACATTGAGGATTTCGGAGTTGTCCTTAGTGCTGGGCTGTCTTGTCCGAAACACGGCTGGTCGTTTGACCTGTTTACTGGCATGGCGGACCGCGCCGCTTACAAGCTTGCTGTTTGGGAGGTTCAGTTACGCGACAAGGATGGGGTCAAGGTCGTGGATCGCAGAGGAGACGATGATGTGGACGCTCGGGATAGGACGGTATGGGTGAGACGGAAGCCTAGAATGGGCTGAGCGGGTCGCCACGGGGGCATCAGCTTTGAACTCATCTCGATTGCTGTTCACGACTGAGATCGTATCTGGAGTATCGACGGGCAGTCTTGGTATGGTTGGGAGCAAAGGAACTGGTGCCGCCCTGAAAGCTGGTCTTGCATCCTTGTTGCAATGGACTCGACCCGAGGCAGAGAACAGCTACTGTTTGTGATCTTGGACACGATGCAGACCCGAGCTTCGAATCGCTCTCTAGGGAGCGGAGCTCTTTTTGCTACGGAACAAAGTACGGCCTTCAGACATGTACAATGGCTACGATTCGAACGCTGTTCTATCGAGCTTCAATGGCCCGCCACACAACGCAGTTATGTCATTGACTGGAGTCGGGGTTTGTATTCCTTTCATGGCCGGAACAAACCCATTGTTAGCATATAAGCATGGACTGCCGCACATGCCCTGACTTGGGGACCGTGGCAATCTATATCTCTGAAGGATAGGACATAAAAATAGGAACATAGACGTGATGCTGGAGAGGGCGCATGGCGGCCAATGCAACCAGATCCTAGCTTAGAACATGTGCCACACGATGTTCTCGAACGTTGCGCTCGTGGAACATCACAATGTCAGCTGTGAATGGAGAGTACTTGTGTGAATACTATGTGATTACAGTATGGTTCTCATTGGGGTGTTCGTCTCGTGGAATTGCGCGTCAAGGCCGGGAGCCGTGTTGAATCAAACTCTAGCCGCCGTGGCCGCAACCGTCCATCTAGATGAACCACTGATCAGCTTAGGCTGCTTCAATGGTTGCACATGACCAATCGGGTATAATCTTGTTCAGACATGCCGATTTCCTCCCACAGCCAGGCGGTTGATGGCCCGTAGTGTGTGACAATGCACACAACCAAAGCCATCGACTACAATCATGGCTGATAGGTTTACCAGAGATGCACGTTTCATCACTACCAATGCGGACAATGCACAAAAAACATGTCCCGTTGCGATCGTCATCACAGTGTACTTACCAGCTTGAGAAAACATGTCAACAGCTATGCATAACAGCTATTCAGACCCGATTCAATGGAAATAAAGAGAGTGGTTTGCGATGATCCGGGCGGACAGATTTGTTCGAAACCGCAGCATCCAGAGAGCGAGACGCACGGAAAAAGCTACCCAGCAATTGTTCTAGGTGGACAATCGAAGGCTGTCGTACAATATGTCACTTGCATCAGGTCATCACCGCATCATGGTAGCCGCACGAGGGGCCCTCGTGATGATGGTTTTAGGCAAGGTTAAACGGTTGTTCTTGACCACGGCTCGAAATCGTCAGCAGCGTCGGGGTTGAACAAAGTCAGTGCAAACTGCGATTTGTTTGCGAGTAGTGGTCTTGTTTGTTTAGAAACGAAAAAAAAAAAAAGGAAAAGAAAGGACTATTCGTGCAGTTCCCCACCAGTGGGAAATATTATTCACAAGAACGGCATCATGTGACTTGTCGCGTGTCGCCGAACAGGCCATCTCAAATTGGCTAAAGGAACTACTTGCGCCCGATTTGGAATACGGAGCAACTTCACTAGCGGCTGTTGCATCTGCATCATTTACACTGCTCGAAGCGAGGAAACCTTCACTGCGATGGATGCCAAAATGGCTGTTTTTGGGCTAAACCGTATGACGAACTCCTTGCATAAAGTTCAGCCTTCAGACGTACGTATATATATAGGGCCTCGGCCATTCATTCACAGCCTGAGTGAACTTGACAACCTCAACAAAAAAGGCTGAACCTCTCCATCTAGTACGGTGTACTTCCAGGCAAAATCCGCCCTGATCCACAATGCTGGCCAGGGCCCCGCTTTTATCGGACATCTGCTCTCAGGGCGCGAGCCTCCACCTGGGCGCTCCATATTCTCCGTCCTCCACCACCGGCTGCATCACCATCCCACACTCCTTGTTACAAAATACTTCGGCCAGCGTAGCAGCAGTCGCAAACCTCGTCGCCCTCGCAGCCCAACAAGCCATGTCCGACGACTCACCGCACAAACGAAAGCGCTCGCTAGGCGATACCGGTGACCGCGACCGCGACCGCGACCAGAAGAAGATGCATCTCGGGGATAGCCGGTTGGGTATTGAGGACCTGCACCTGGACGTCGGGGAGAAATACCTTCTTTGCAGAACACGTACGTGACCCTTGCCCTTGCCCTCTGCCCGTCTTCATGGTTCAAGGCTTCTGTCGGTGTCGGTATTTCTCTGGGAGAATGGTCCTGTTGATAATCTTGATGCAGCACATCCTGAGCCTCTGACCAGGATAGCCCAAGACCTGTACGAGATGTGCGGCCTCACCAGCCTTGCCGCCGAAGTAGCGCGAGAAAAGCCCAACGGGGAGAAGAACGCTTTACGGAAAACATACAAGGGTCACATAAAACGATTAGGGGTAGCCGGTCATTTCGACGTTCAGAAGAAGAAGGAAGACGCGCCTTCAGAATTCATGGCGATCCTCCAAGTCCCCGAGCTGGAGTGGAATGTTCATCAAGTCAAAGGTCGCGAAATTACCGACGGGTTATCCGCGACGACGCTCTCGAATCTTGGCCGTGCCATGAACATGTCCAAAGGACCCATACCCAAGGCGGTCTGGGACTCGTCGGTACTGGGAGACTTAGCACCGTCCAGTGGCAATGCGTCAAAACCAATCTCTGCGAAGCCATCAGCACCGGGCACGCCACTAGCTTCAACACCCAACACTATAGGCCGACCAAAACCTCCGATTCTAGCTGGGCAGGATCCCAACCGACCTCGGAGGAATGTCAAGAAGCGATCATATGGCGACAGCAGTTTCGAAGGCTATGGCGAAGGATACCCCGATGACGACGGAGGTATGGATACCGGATACTCTACGGGAGAAGGCGAGGGCGGTCAAAAGCGTCGGAAGAAAGTAGGTTATGACAGCACAAATGGAAATGAGTCACTATCGTCTGACATGGCCTTGAAGAACACGGCAGCTTCGCCACCTAATGCTCTCATGCGTCAACAAAGTTACGGCCCGGGTATGGTCGGTGCTTGAGAGACACTAATGTACACTTGTATATAACTAAACCATAAAGGAGAGATTATCCATGATCCAAATACACCAATAAGAAACAGAAACGCTATGCCTGGTTGTCCTTCAACTCCGTCATCTCACATTGTCTCATTCCGAATATTGCGTCCAATATTATGTGTTGCCATTGACAGGGCATCAAGTGCTCATGCTGAAACACAAGGACGTAATGAAGCAGACATCTCAACACCTTGAAGGGAATTCTACGCACTATCGGCCGGTTGTGGACAGATCTGGTTGCTCGCTACCATAGTTCCCATTCTCAACTGACGGGTAGGCACCGCCGCTCATTTCGGCCCAGCTCCAATCCAACGTCGCTGGAAGACCGAACAAGTCTTGTGGGAGCAGGGGTTGCGCAAAAGGCCGAGCCGTCAGTGGTATAGGAGGCGGGGACACACCGATGGCACCAAAGGCATTCATGTTGTTGTATGAGTCAAAGTCTCCATTTTGAGGAGGTTGCAACTCCTGCTGCCAGCTTGTTGAGCCACCAGAGGGAGATTGACTATTCATCGACATGACTGCTGAAGGATCAAACGAACCTCTTCTGTCTGCTGGACTGGTTGATGCGAGACTTGCCAGCGCATCTCTGGAGGCAGAAGAAACGGAGAGATTGCGTGGCATTGGCGTGGATATTGTCGCGGTGGTAGGCCTGGGCGTTTCTGAGGATGCTGTCTCGCCCGGTGTAGTCTGTACAGATGGCTTGCTGGAAGTATTTGTTGCAGTGCTGTTTTTCGATCCCGAGTCTACGTTCTTGCGCTTTCGCCTAGAAGATTGCTCCTTTTCTGCCCTTTCAATCACCACTTTGGAAATACGTACGAATTCGGAGCATATGCCGAGCATGCGGTGCACGCCTCCTTGTTCAGCCTCCTGGCCCAACATCGACAAGAATGTAACAACAAGGTCCATCAACTTCGTATCGGACTTGGCACGAGGGTCAAGGGGATTTTGAAGAATGTTGCTAAACAAGGTCATGAGTGCTGACACGGGAAAATAAAGAATGAGCCTAGTCATGTATTGTTAGCCCTGTGTATATCCCGTCATGGAGACTACGACTTACCAAACGCATGAAAAGTCACCTTGCGGGACATATTTCAGCAGAGAGATAGAGGCTCGAGCGGCTGCTGTGCACAGTTGAGCAGAAGAGAAAACCCTTGGATTCAGCGGCCTCGAATTCAAGCCTTGAATGGCATAGTTTGACAGTCTGCTTGTCCAATAACCATGGTGAATTGACATACGATGAATAGTCGTCAAACAATTGTAGTATGTGAAATGAAGCATGACAACATGCAATATCAATGGTGTATGGGACGCCTTTATCTCATGTTCCGGTCGGAAGTCAACGGGAATTCTGTCTTTCCATTCTTCCAGTTCCTGGTCCAGTTCACCGATGGTATTTAAAAGCTCTCCATCGGATTGTTTCGTTGCCTTTGTCGAGTACAGCCGCTTGTAAACATTGCTTTCAATGACAGTAAATTCACAAATGACACGGAAGAGGTTCATTTTGCCCTTTCCGTCCGCCAGAGGGATGTTTCCAATGTTGTCGGCGGGGTTAGCGTCCGGTAGCTCCACATTCATATCGTCATCATCTTGTGCAGCTGGCCGTCCAGATCGAAGGCATAGGTCCTTGTCTAGCATGTATGCAATCCAAAACACTCTCTTTCGTTGTTCGATTTCGATGGGGTTTAAGTTGAATCCCGTTCCACGTTTATGAAGTCCGATACTGTGCGAAAGCCTAATGGCGGCAGCAATCAAGAGAGAGGTCGGCTGAGGATTCGGTGTTCCTTGCATGAACAACGCCATGCCGAGTAGAGCCTGCACACTTAGTAAATCGGTGTTCCGCATAGTTAGCTCTGAAAACACTGCCATGGCGTTTTTCAGATACGCCCAAGCTTTCTCATCCTCCTCCTGCGGCACCAGGTTGCTCATGACCCGTAGGCGATGCGCGATGGCTAGTGCACAATTCAAGCTTGCCCACCATCCGGAGCCTTCATATGGATCAGACGAGTATTGTCTCTCAACTAAATGCATGAAAGTCGGTTGGTGGAATAGGGGAAACATGCAGTTGAAGTTCTCGAAATAGTCCTGTAGAAGGGACATTGCTTCATTTTTCGGCGGTAGCGGCCTGAATACCCGTCGCTGAAACAGGTCACCGAAAACTTCAGGCTTCCAATTTGTCCATTTGTGATCATCCACTGATACCTCAGATATCATCTTGGCAAATGAATCGTCCCCAGTACGCCCGTTGACCCACTGAATACCCTTTGGTGAGAAGATGGAAAAGCCCGAAGACGAGCCAATGTATCGGGTTTCGCCACATTGATTGGTAACAAGAGAACACATCATTTCTGAAAGGGCTTCAACCTCTTCTTCTCCGTCACCGGCTCTCTCATCCCCGGGCGTCATGGATTTGCGTTTCTCGTCCTTGTCTTTGTCCTTGTCCTTGTCCTTGGTGGGATCGGGCGATGTGAGAGCACTCTGAGGTGTTGAAGCTGTGCCATCCTGCCCTGACGTTGCCTGTGAAGGAGAAATGGGACTGGTTGCAACAGTCGAGGTCTGACGTGATTTCTCTGTCAATTTCTTCTCCAATGCGCCCAGGTCGGTACCGCTGTCATCCTCGCTCAGTAAGCCTTTTTTTATCATGGCTGTTAGTCACCACACCCGTCAAGACTCGTTGTGGCATAGAAAAGTTGACGTACCTGAGAGTCGCAACAAATGCTCCATGCGGCCCAATCTATTCTCTAATCCTTCGATATATTTGGCTCTACGAGGATGTACACGTTAGCAGGTATCCGACAGCACGTTAAGCTAGCTTGAGAATGTGTCGACCATATGACGGGGGGAACCAACCCTTTGGGAGGACTTCGCTTCTTCTCCACTTGGGTGAAGACACAATCCGTCTTGTAATTGATGCAATGAGTGCAGGCAGGCAGCTTGCCGTCACACTTGATCTTCTTCTTCCTACACATGTCACAAGCCTTAAGACCCATGCAGCATTAGCTATCAGCTCGACAGGACTGCGCATGGATTTTCTCTCACCCTCGCAATTCTTCTTCTTTTGGCTTCGTTGGTATCTTCCATGAGGAGGTGGGTGTCGGGGAACATGTGTGCAGCCAGATCAGCCGGCATCTGAGGAGCGTTGGGTAAACCATCCGGGCCATATCCGCCAAATATCTGGGGCGGTTGGTTCATGATGGGCGGTGGTCCCATGCCGGGTATCTGAAAGTTCATGTGGTCCATGGCAACAGCAACAGTATGTATATGCGTCTGGAAGCAGGGGAGTATCGGCAGACTTGCTGGACGGAAGGGCAAAGCTCAGAGAGCCCGGTTTGGAGCGCATGCACGGAAGGAGCAAATTTGGCGCAAAATGGCGAGGCGAGCAATCGATCGTGGTGGCTTGAGCTTCCTGTGCGAATTTGTCGTTGCAGAACCTCTTGAGTGCGGGCCAGTTTCGGGGCCAGCGATGGCTTCTGCAGGTGCGCAGTGTAATCCAGCGCAGTGGGATTTTGATGTCAATTCAAGTCCAACAACGATGCGGAACTCGACGAGACGGAGAGAACTTGCTAATGGTGGCACAGGGCTAGGTGAGACGGTTTGGAGGGAAGGGGGAGGGCCAGTGGTTTGTATTGGTAATTGCTAAGGTAGACTGGAGAAGGCGTATTCGGATGCCGATCTAAAACAACCATCCGATGGCTCAACGCAGATGGTCTGAGTGGCCACGGGGATTTCAAGTGCTGGAAGTCTGGGACTGGCGGGGGGCACGGACCAGTGGAGTGGCCTGGTGGATAAGCACAGCGGCGGATAGGCGGGACAGACGCAATCAATGTGCACATGCAAGCACTGTGCAGTCAAGTCTGGTCAACGGGTGCCAGCACAGGCCGTGAATGAAGGGGTGTACAGGGCTAGCGCAAAAAAAGCCAGCGTCTGGCGGCTCAACCAACCGTCTTGTTCTAAATAAACCAGCACAGGCGGCAAGATTCCGGCTGGGGCCAAGAGTTCGTCGAAGTCGCAAACTAGTTCTAGTTGGCCGTGAAGGGCTTTGAATGTATGGGCGCAGGTTGGCTGGCGTATTGATGCCTTGCTCAGAGAGGAAATCGGAAGCTTGACATTGATGAGAAGAAACCAAAGGAAACTCTGGGATGGGAGGAGCAGCATCCGGATTGGCCGGCAACCAGACAGGCGCCCAGCAACTAGCAGGCACATGCAGGCAGCTAGCCCTGACACCTCTGGTTCGATGCTACTTGAGATACCGGGAGACTTGACAACGGCTCCCTTTGGACCTTGGGACTTTTGTCACCGAGCATTGTATACATTGACTTGAAAGCAATGTCTATGTCGAGGCAGCCAGCCCATCTCGCCTCTTCCAGCCAAGCCGCACCGCTCTTAGACGGCATCTTGCGGACATGATCGGAGGGATTGACACTTGGAGTCGTATTACAAGCAAGTACCAGTTGAGGCTGAGGGCCCTGTCACGACGCATCAATTGAACCTGCTTCTCAAACCAATTGAAATGTTTTGCCCACGTCAGTTTACCACACTATCGGATCCTGTTCCGACCTTCCCCAGTGCCGTGGCCACGCATGGCTCCGTGTTGACGATGTCCACAGCATGACACTGCACGGCCAACATGAGACGAGAGCGCATGATGCCGTTCGTCTTCACCCGCTTCCGTCATGGCCGGTACCGACGTATGCCCTTGTCCGCCCGACTTTGGAGACGGTGGCAAGGCCAATGCTGGCCAACGATGCCAGAAGTAGCCCAAGCAACCATCTCGTCACTCACGGCTCGTCGTCGAAAGTCTCCTCGATCCCCCTTTACCCTGCTTTTCGCTATTTGCAACACTAGGGACCGATAACTACCTCAACTGTGCAGGAGAATCAATCGTTTTGTTCCGCAGTCGTTACAACTAGCAAGGTATTGCGTTTCGAGGTTATCGCCTTGCTACCTAGCAGCTCCTAGCCTCGGCCCAGGAGGACAACCGGAGAGGATGTTTGACGTTGTTTAAAAACACCAGCTGTGAGCTGGGTGATACATCCCCCATTGAATGCCAAGTGCTCCGTGTCTGGCGAAGCTAGCCTTGGCGCGACCCCATCCTGTTCCCGCCGACAGTTCGGACTATGTGGAACAGGGCCAGAGTTAAGGGATATTGACACACAGTGCAACCATTCGCGCACCTCAATACTTCTGCTGACAGTTGGTCCCCCGCCCCTGTGTGTGTCCATTACGGAGTACATGTCAGTCTTACACTGTCAAGCACGTAGATGCGGAAGAGGCCCTTCTTGGCAGAGAAAGAACCCGTGGAATAGCACTTGAAACATGATCTCACTTTTCTATTCATGCGCTGCCTACACATGTTTACAATGTACAATTGCAAAAATAGCGTGCAACAAATAAAATCTCCCAAGCATAGTATCTTACTTCTTCAACAGAGCCTAGCGTGGATTCCTTTGCAACATTGACTCCTCCGCAAGCTCCGCTCCTGGACCACTGGACCACACCGCACACATGGCAGGCAACAGGGTCTAGAATTCCTCGCCTGGTCAAGTCGAAGAACCCCCCATTGCAGAGTGGCTGTGCACTTTTAAGCGACAGGGAAGAAACCACGAGAAAAGAAACAGTATTTGTCATGGCAAAGTGTCAAGTAGAATAGAAAAACCTTGGGCGTTGGCGTGCATAATTCCGTTTCTCCTCCTCCAACCCGCCCCACGTTCCTGTTTCAGTTGTGGTCTCAGACTTGCGGCAGTAAAAAAGGCTTGTGCGCCTGTCATACCATAATACACTGGGACTTGGTCACACTGATAAGGAACCAAGCGAACAAAAAAAAACAAAGAGGGAGAAAACCGCCCGCATGCTGCAGATTAACCGGCCCAGAGATTCGCCAAGCCTTATTTCCCGATGATGCGATGCGTCCCCGATTCCCTGAGCACGGATTGTGCGGACTTTGCATCGTCGCACCGTCGCAGTGCTGTGGCTGGCTAAACGTCAGCCAAGTGCCGATATGTGACCACGTGCTGCATCGTGTGTATCAGAAGCGCAAATGATTCCAAAGCATGCACGCCAGTTCATGCCCCAATTGAAACGAGGAGCACCATGGAAGTCAATTCATTGACGCTGTTCCTCTTTCATTATCATCATTATATATGTATATATTTAAAAAAAAAAAAAATCAACACCGAAACCCGCGTTACTCTTACATCTACGCGGAACGAACATGAGTACCCAGGGTACCTATCTTACCTGGTACCTAGGGTAGGTACTCTACATGGAAGTCCGCATAAGTTGCTGCTTTACAGGCGTTAACAAGAGATGTCGACTGTACTTGACATATTTCAACACTCTAGCCAAGAGCCACCATACCGGCCAGTGTTTCTACAAGGATCACTGTCGAGAATCGGCACCACGTACTGAAAAATGCGGTGATATCCAGTCGTATTTGCAGCAGCACTTGGCAGTTATATCATAGCATAGGAGCCTTAACCACAAGTACAGCAGTAGATACTTGCACGCGTCAGCTTGTCAGCCTTTACAATGGCCAAGTCAACCTATAGCTACACAGCCATTCTAACCATGACATCACAGAGATATATAAAAGACTCCTATTGAAATACGCTTTTTGATTCATAAGCCTTCCCTTCATATTAGTAAACCAATGGGCTCACATCAAACGCCGATAACGACGTCAGAAATTGCCCCAGTTGGAAATGAGGGGATCGAGAGCCCCAGTGTGATGCGTACACAAGCATCTAAGACGCGACAAATATGTACATGGAATCAAAGGCTCTAAATGAGGTTTAAAAAATTTGAATAAATACGCAACTCGCCGGCTGCAAGATGATTGTGCAAAATAGAACAAAAAAAGGTCCAGTTAGAGCAGAAAAAAGATCTCCTCTAAATTTTTTCTTGAAATTTTGACCCCGAAGCTCTTGGGCTTTCGCCGGATCCCAGCGTCCTCGTTGATAAGTTGTTAGTTGAAGCAGGCGGATCGGCGAACGGGTTCTGGGTGATAGGTATCCTTGCTGGGCCGGATCGAATGATGGGGACGCCGCTGACAGGTCGCATGGGCACTCCCAGGGCCAGTTGCCCTTTACCCGCAGATGTTGGCTCAAATGCCTGCGAGCCTCGATAGTAGTCCGAACTGCCGCTGGTTGCGCTTCCTCTAGGATCAGAATACCCATCTCCTCCGTTGTGCAACACCGATGGAAGTTTTCTGCCCGAAACTCGGTAGAATCCCCGTTCACCGCTGTCTGCAGAATGTGAGGTTTGCGGAGCTCGTTTTCCCGTCAGGCTGGCGAGAGCCGCGGCGACGGCTCCGGGGGCTGCTGCCCGTTCCGCCATGGCTCCTCCTGACCCACTGTCGCCCGGTGTGCCAGCTCCAAGGGTTCGCGAGGTTGCTCCCCCTGATTGGTTGTTCAGTATGGTAGGGCTACCCTTCTTCTTCTTCCAACGCAGAAACAGCATCAAGAGTAAGCCAATGACTGCTACGCCGGCCACAGCACCAACTACTCCACCGATGACCTGCTTCAGCTGTGGCGTCAGGCTGTCTCCGCTGCTGGAGCCGGTTTCCGATTGTGTTGTTGGCAGGCTGCCGGGAACCGTGATCGTGCCATAGCCATTGCCCGGTGCGGTCGTCGTGGCCGAAGAGAAGGACGACGACGATAAGGAGGACGAGGAGGACGAAGAAGGGGACGACGAAGAGGAGGACGAAGAGGCCGACGAAGTCAAGTGGGTGGAGTGGGTAGATTTTGAGGTACTCTTGGTTTCCGAGGTGGTTGACGAATCGGTAGTTGATATCGTTACGGAGCTGGAACTTAATTTATATATTGACGAACTGTTTGAGGGTGCAGCAAATGACGAGTTGCTATGGAAGGCGGCTAAGAGTTTCAAGTTAAAAAAATGATACGTGCCATGATAATGCAACAAGGCGACAGGACGGAAACGGCTTACAGCTTGTTGAGTTTCGAATGCCACCTACGCTTGGGTAGGCGGGTTTGACAGTGGCAGACGAAGGTGTAGTAGATGTGGGAACTGGGCCCAGCGATGTTGACGTAGCAGAGTCGAGAGACGAGGAGGAATAACCGCTCCCGCTTGGGGTAGGCCCCGGAAGGGCTACAGTCGATTCAGGGCCGCTAGAAGTATCGATGGTTTTGCCGGACTGGGGATCAACGACAATGGTGTTTGGCGGCGAATAGATGGTCTTGGTCTCATAGGTCGAACCCCACGGGTCAACATACTGAACGAGCGAAATAGTCTGACGGACATGGGTAACGAGAGAAGTCTGCTCATCACCTACAGCATTGACGGCAACCTGTTGGGTAGTTTCGCTCGAATCGCGCTTGGCGAGAGCATTGTTGGAAGAGTCCAGCTCGACGTTGGCTCCGAGGTGATGCCCGAAGCCGTTGTCGCTAGCTGCGTCGTCGCCGAAGGACCGTTGTTCTGGGTCATGCGCATGGAGCAGGCGATGTCGAAATCGGTGAAAGAATGAATGGGAATGGGAATGGGAACGAGAGTCGCGGGCCTGAAGGAGTGAAGACCCGTGCGATGGTTTAGTCATGGTGGCCGCGATGAATTGCGCCAGTGGGCAGTGCTGTAGGCCGACGACGCAGGTCGTATTCCAGCTGCGGGGGCCTCTTGGCCGACTAGGATGCAGAGGCCCAGGCGGTTTTTGCCCAGACGGACAGCGGGCGAAACAAACGAATGGGGGGCTTCTAGTTGTGCACAGCAGGCACCGTCGTCATGATTGCCACAGAGAGCGTCGATCAATGGAGAAACAGCCAACTCTAACTTTAACCTGCAGCGCGTCGGACGGTCCAGCAGACGAACAATGGATTGTCGAGATACTAGTCGTCGTTGCTGTTGCCGTATATTTTTCGATCAGGCGTTGAATGCTTGATGCTGCGGTCTGGCCAATTAGGTGCCGGTGCGCTGGCGTGCACAGAAAAGAATTCGCCTGAGGATGAAATGAACGAGTGGCTTGCGGCACCGCTGGGCCGCTAAAGAATGTCGACTAAAGAATGGAGAGAAAATAACGATACTGGAACTGCGGCCGTTTTGCTCACGACGAGTTCATTGGCGACGCCCAAGGGTTGATGGAAGAGTAAAAGGGCATCGCGAGGCGACGGGGTATCACAACAGCCTGACGGGAGAAAAGGAAGAGGAAAAAACTAGACGCCCAAGGTGCGAAACTTGGAGAAGAATCGCGCAACAGTCTGGTAGGACAACACGACCGGAAACGAATGAGCCGCAGACTGTCGTGGGAAAAATGAGAGACAGATTAGCACTTGCAAGCATTGGGCCACGCAAGGCCCGGGCCATGCACGGCTGGGTCTTGGGCCGGGTCTTGGGCCGGGTCTTGGGCCGTATCCAGACTCGATGCCAGTCGATGGCACGAAAGGTAATTTCGCTTGCAGGGGGGTTCTGGGTGCGCCAACACGGCCAGGGCCGGGGCCTGTGACCAATCAGAATGCATCATAGTCGGAATTGGACAAGGGGATGCCAACAGAGGTGGAAGTTGGCTGCAGCACAGGAACATGCATGCAAAAGTCAATACGGAGTAATAATAGTTACCTGGTTCCGTACGGTAGACAACGACTGACGAGCAGTTATTCTTGTATCCATTGTATTTACAATCCGTGCGTGAGCAGCTCACGATGTTGTGCATACACCAGTCTGGTCTCTCCGGATTCTCCACGTCAAGGTTGTTTGTATTATTGGTTATGCTGCAACAACGGGCCATTGACCACGACGCGAAAGGGAGAGCGTAAATTGAGCATTATGCTGGCAAGCCAAGCGCGCCGGCATATGATGAGAGTGATAATTGGCCGCCGAGTTGCGGAGGATCAAGGGCAACAAGACCGAAGGCTTACCGGCATCAACCCCATCAACCCTGTCAACACGAGGCCCCAACTCGACCAGTGAGGCCCGGGACCTCTCAACCTGAGACTCTAGATCGGGAATGCGAACAAGTTTGAATGCACTGCCGACGCACGCAATGGCTCGCGTGTACGAAGTCTTCACTTTGTTCTTTCCGATGAGCATTCGCCTCGTGGTGCCCATGTTTGGTCATGTTGGTTGTAAATTAAAGGCCCGAGACCAAACAAAAAGAGGAGTTGCGTCTGTCCGCAGCATCGACATGGTTACTACAGCTATGGCCAATGAAAGAAGCTGGACGCAGTGGCCGGTCCCCCTTCTGTCAATTATTCTTGGGGATCAACTCGCAGGCCCATGGGTATCCTGGCTTCCAAACTCTGGTTGCGTCGCGTCTAAATTGCACAGACGAAGCAACCACCAGAGCAGTGTCGAATTGTGATTGGCGCTGCCGAACGTCGGGTGGTCTTGGTGAATGTTGCAATGAATATATTGAAACAACTTTGCAAAGTTGCTCAAGCACCGAGGCATCCTTCCTGTTGCACCATCAGTCGTCCATGATGCGCAGTGACCCGCCGGCATTCAGATTGCTGGAATCGCTCATTGTTGTCTTCATTCCATTGCGCGTGTCATTGCACAGTAATACATATTATGGGGCAGCATTTGACACTTGGATTGGCGCTGTCTTGCCCTTTTCTATTAATAGTGGCACCACGCGCTCTCTTCATTTTCACCTGGTCTCCTCCCTCGCGAGGGGCTGGTGGGCTCTGGATTGATGTTAATTGTCAACTGGTATCCCGTAGTTACTCCGTACTCCGCAATAGACCTGTTGCCTGACAGCTGGACCCAGCACGCCCACCAGCCAACTACTTAAGTAGTTTCCCGATGAAGAGGGGACTGGAAACGGTTGCGTGTGGGGCTCCACGCAATCCTCTGACTTCGACATTGAAGCCATCATGGTGTTCTAGGTGCTCGTCGCCTGGGGGCTTAGCTTGCAAAGACGTCGACAGGTTGGTGGAGATCAAGTGATGGGATGTTGAGTCTTGACAACCTTCAACAGATCTAGGCCCTGATCCTATAAACCGCGACTGACCGTCAGCCGGCTGAAGACACTGCATAACACGTATAAATATAACACTTACCTATTTTTGGTAAGGGATTTACACATAAAGTTAAAGATAAAACCCATATTATTTATAACTTCTTATTTACAGTATATTACGCTAGTAAAGAGTCCTAAAGACCACTTAAATACCTATGAGAGGCTTAATTACCAAGTTTTTAGTTAATTTTAAGAGCTAAAAGTAATTCGCGAAAACGTGCTAAAAAATATTATCATACTACTAATTAGCTAGACCTGGTAGAGTTAATACGAGGGAAAACCCCCACTGTAGTTTAGTGGCGTAAGTCTCTCTCCAGACGGCTAACGTTCAGTCGCGGTTTGTGATGGCCAGAGCATTGACAAGAAAACTACATTTTCATTTTTTAAAAAAGCTTAAATAATTAATAATAAATCTAATAAAATACTTGAATTATAATAATAAATACATAAAATAGCTAATATTATAGCTAATTAGCTTATTTAAAAAAGTGGGTCCCTTTAGCTTTTTGTAAGCTTAAAAACTAGATTATATAGTTTTCTAAAAACTTACTACACTACACTACACTACAAAAACTACAAAATGTAGTTTTTGAAGTTTTAGGCTTATAATAGTATATAAGGACCCACTTTTTCTATTATAAGCTTATAATTTTAGATTTATGCTAGTTATTCGTAAAACTTATAATTCTATAAGTATTTTATTAGATTTAATAATAATAAATACATAAAATAGCTAATATTATAGCCAATCAGCTTATTTAAAAACCGTGGGTCCCTTTAGCTTTTTGTAAGCTTAAAAACTAGATTATATAGTTTTCTAAAAACTTACTATACTACACTACACTATAAAAACTATAAAATGTAGTTTTTGAAGTTTTAGGCTTATAATAGTATATAAGGACCCACTTTTTTTATTATAAGCTTATAATTTTAGATTTATGCTAGTTATTCGTAAAACTTATAGTTCTATAAGTATTTTATTAGATTTAATATAAATTTTTATATTCGAAACTACAAAAACTACAAAACTACAAAACTACACTACTTCCAATGCTCTGCCTTACGGTCACCCGCTATCAGCATGGGCATTGTGGGGCTCGTGACCTCGCTGGAGCCTTAACACAATCAAAGGCATAAATATCACGTATTTACATTAAAATTACATGTGAGAGCGTGGCTGACGAGATGTGTGTTGTAAGGTGGTTAGGGCGACCCCGCCCACCTAAAACGCGATTGACAGCGTCACGTGGGGCGAGGGTTTCCCGACCACATCCCCTACATTTCGCACAATTAGAAAGAAGGATAAGCTTTCAAATGTTAGTTATTGCAATACAGCTACCCCTACGTTGGCTACCTGGCTTCGTGTTCCATCTTACAGGTTTGGCGCGATGTGGCCTACAGCGCTCATACATACAGCTCCCAATACTCCGTAGATGGACTCCTATATCGGTGTGTGACCGAGGCGGCCAGCCAGCATACCAACCAGTCGTGGACCCCTTAAGTGCTCTGACAAACAAATTTGTCAAATGCGTCACATTCTAACCTCGAGCCATTCATGGCTCGTCCATGACACCCATCTACCACAACCATCACAGGCACAATGTCCTCACCTCCACCACTTCCTCCCCGAACCCCTTCCTACCTTTCGCCTTACCCTCTCGATAATCCCCTGCTACATGTCTCCGACCCGCGCACCTCATCAACCCAATCCCTCGTCCCCTCCGAAGCATCGCTCGGCAAACGAAAGCTCCTCATAGTCTATATCCATGGCTTCTACGGAAATGACCAGTCGTTCAGATCCTTCCCCGCACATGTTCACGCGCTGTTAAAGGAGCTGCTGGCCGAGACTCATGTTATTCATTCCAAGATATATCCGCGGTACAAGACGTACAAGGCAATAGAGGTCGCCAGGGATAACTTCAGTGCGTGGTTGGAACCGCATGAGGGCGACGGCACGGATGTGGTCCTTGTTGGGCATTCGATGGGGGGGCTTTTAGCTGGTGAGCTTGTTTTGATGGTGAGTTGCTTGTCACACCGTGCGTCATGTTGCATTGACCACCGCCGTGTCCTTCCTGGACATGTCAGTTTGTATGATATTGTGTGAGAAATGCCCTGTTGTACCTCTTGCCTGTGTGCTCGCCCATGCTATGGTGCAGTTTGGTGTATTATATTATTCATACTATTGCTTTCAAGTCAGGCGGGAAACAAGGCGAATATGCTGCTAACCCTGATAGCCAAATACAAATCCCTATAAAACGCAGCCCTTCAAGCATCGCATCTTAGGCACCGTTGCCATGGATTCGCCATTTCTGGGATTACACCCTAGCATTGTAGTTTCAGGTATTGCGGGATTATTTCAACCCTCACCGAATCAAGGGGACCTGCATGAGCAGCAACAGCAACCAGGACAGGAAGAGCTGAGCACTTCTCCTGGCCCCGAGCCATCCATCGACTCACGGATTGACCTGATAGACACTGGAGCTTCGCCACGCCCACAGCGACAGCCTACCGATCCCCATTTTGATCCACCTTTTTACAATGACGCCCCGTTCCTGGAGAAGCCCTTGGTCAAACGTCTCATCAACTTCACCGCCAAACACAAACGCGAGGGGCTGCTCAACGCGGTTGGAAGACACATCATTTCGCACTTGGAGTTTGGTGGATGTCTGGCTGACTATCGTGGTCTACATGTGCGCTATAACCGACTCCGAGCACTAGAGGATGTTGATGAAATCAGAAATATAGCTGAAGGTTACCCGACTGGTGCGTATGCCAGAGTTCGGTTTGTAAATTACTACACTTTGTCTCCTGGTCGACCTAAGCCAGTCAAAGCCGACAAAGAGCAGAGCCAGGAAATACAAGCAGCGCGGAACTCTGCAGACCTGCAGCTTGCGGAGCTTGATATCCAGGATATCTCAGCCCCAAAGAGTCCGGGTCCCCCAATACCAAATAAGCCAGAGAAGGAAGGTGAAGAAACCACCCAGTTCGGCGCAGATCCGGGTCCCCAAGTAGCGGACACCGCCGAAACTAGCACCGTAAAAAATTCACAAAACAAAGGAGATGGACAGCACGAAACCCCAGCAGAGAATGCCCTCGAAATAACTCCAGACAATGCTCGCCGAATATCCATGCAAGATATAGACCCCATCCCCTTTGTCGAAGTCGAAACCAAAGAATCCCGGGGCCAAACCGCAACCGCAACCGCAACAGATGATCTCGATCTCCCTCCTATTCCTGACCTCCCACACAAACCCACTTTCCCAGATATAGACGCTAATCTCGACAAGGACGCCAGAAGGCAAGCTGAAAGAGAATCAAAACGCCTCCAAAAAGCCTACCTACAAGCTGTCAAGGACCGCGCCGAGGCGGTGCAAGAGCGCGAGAAGGTACTCGAGAGGAGACGCAAAAAGGCTGCCAAAAAGGCAGAAAAGCAGGCCAAGGGCTCCGAGAAGTCGAGAGCTAAACAAGAGAAGCAGGCAGAGAAAAGGCGTGTTCGTGAGGGAAAGCAAGCTGGCGAGTCCGTTCCCGCCGGGGGATACGGGGAACGGGACGGCGCCGAAGATGCAGAGAGGCCAAAGAAACTGAAAAAGTTTTGTGTCTTGCCGAGTAAACGGGACGGGGCGAGCGATCCAACCTGGGTAGATGTATACATGGACGGGCTGGATGTAATCGGTGCGCACTGCGGACTGTTTTTTCCCGGACCGCATTACGATGTGTTGGTCGGGGATGTGGGGAGTAGGATCGCGGCATGGGTTGGAGACGAGCTGACCAAGAGAGCTATATTAGAGGCTGAGTAAGGATGATGCCCGTGTGTGATGAGTTCGAACAATGACAATTGTCATGCTACTGATGTACAGAACACTAGGGCTCGCCGACCTACGCAACGCAGTTCGACTATGGTAGACTGTAAATTGCAGATGCCATCGTCTTCAACAGGGTAACTGGTCCAACACCCAAGCTCGCTGGGAGCGCCACTTGATCTCAAATAGTGGCCCGTTCAAGACTGGCAGCATGTATATCACTCGTTACGTGGCATATCCATCATACTACTCCAGAGCTTCATCACAACCCATACAAGACCGGCAGTATATGTAAATAACAAATTATGTGGTATCTATCATAAGTACAAGGGAAATCAGTCGCTGTCCATCTATTATCAGTACAGATCAAGTTCTCGTAACCGGACACTCAGGTCCTCCTTCTTGCCCTCATCCACCTCAACCCCCTTCAGAACGGCCTCCTCCTGACTGTCTACAAACGCCTCACACTCAATCGCCACAGCGCCGAGTCGTACCCACGCACCAGCGTCTTCTCTCGACGTCTGTCGGCCGCAAATCAAGGCCGTAGCCGCATAGTCAGCGCCTCCCTTCCAGTTCCGCCCCGACACTAGGACACCGAGACACGCAAACTCCGACGCCTTGTCCTCTTGTCCCGACAAGGACGCCGTGATCATGGCCTCCACAAGCGCTCTGTTCTCGCTCGTTAAAGCAACGTCCCGCAGCTTCGCCTGTGCTCCTTCAATCGTGAACCCGACTTCAAAGGATAAGGTCTCCAGGCGCAGAAATGCAATGGGGTCGCTCTTCTTGGAAATGGCATCCCCGTCAATCTCCCACGACAAGACGGCAGCGTCCTTGAACCCCACGGAGATCTCCATCCTGGGCGCCGCGGAAACGCCGTGCAGGATAGGCGATACATCCCCCACGAGGTTGAAGGCGAACTTGCTGTCCGAAGCTGTTAGACCTTCTCGAAGGTTCCAGGCCAGCCACGTCCACGACGGGAACGAGGCTGCCCTGTAGCACGACGGTTCGACCGACCCCGTCCAGTCGCAGATCCACCCCAGGCTGGCGGCCAGACGATCCGTTTCGCTAACAACCCCGCTCGTCACAAAGTCGTCGGGATGAAACAGCGGCAGGCCGAGGAAATGTTTCACCGCAAGGCCACCCATGCGCGCGTACTCTCGGAGGAGGGCCCGGAAGGCATCGAGGCGTTCTTCGTTGTTGGCCAGATCGCGGCACATGTAGGTCTTGATGAGGTCCTTGAACTGGCCGGATTGCCGGGGGCACCCGTCACCGGCCGGGAATACGCGCCCAAGTGAGACCGAGGGCGCGAGGCGGAGAGGCAGGGAGAGCGATTCGTGACAGTGGAGGGTGCGGCATTGGAAGTACATCTGCGATGGGGTGAAGATGAGACGACGGCGGGCAAGCAGACCCTCTTGGAAGGCCCACGCGCGGGAGGCCCATTTGGAGGAAGCGACTTCGAGATCAGGCCGCACGAGAGAGGTTGCGTAGAGGCCAGTTTTGGCTTTGAGGGAGAGCTGCTCCTCGCGGGGGGTGCTGAGGCCGGGAATGCCGCTGAGGGACGTGTCTTCTGCGGCGACGACGAGGGTTAGCAGTGACTGGGAGAATATCTCGCCTATGGCGTCGACCTGTTTCTTGCGCTCGCCGGGGGGGACCTGCAGACAGAACCGGTCGATCCAAATGTATCGAAATCCAAGGCTGCTCGTGAATGCGATGGCGTCGGCGAACAACAGCGGCACGCTTTCTGGCAAGCGGCCATCCGGGTCGAGAGACAAGGCTGAACTATCCAACGGAGCATCGGGCGATGAATCCAGTTCCGGCCGCTCCCACACATAGCTCAAGGTAAGATAGTCCGTCTCGCCACCAGCCTGAATCTTCCCGGCTGCGACGACACGCATCTCAGTGCAGTCAACCAGCCTCAGCCCTGGCACCATGCTCACGGGCGCCATACACGCCGTGTCCGCGTGTTTCTTCCTACAGAAATCCAGCCAACACCTCGGCAGCGCAGGATCAACCATGGCCGACACCACCCTCGCCCTGATGCCCGCCTCTCCCTGCTCCTCGACGTACCTCGACATGCCCTCGTCCTCGTCGGCCTTGAAAAGATACCCCCACGGCAGGCTCTTCTTCCTGGTCATGACCTCGATCATGACGGAGCCGGCAAGCTCATGCCTCTCCCCAACGCCATCCAGCCGCTCAAACGCCCGCCTGATCCTCAAGTACGGGTGAAACTTGGCGGTGCCATCGCCCACCGCCGGCACAGGCCCAATCATGGCCCGGAAGAAGACGCAGAACGGACACTGCGGCGCACCAGGCGGCGTCTGTCCCCTCTGCGAATCGCCATCGGCCGGCGGCGGCAGGAGAACATGCGACAGCGGCACCCACGGCCTCGGCTGGCCGTGTTTCCAGTCCAGCAGCCGCGGGAAGTCAATGGCCGCGCATCGCGGACAAGTCTCTGTCAGGAACGCCAGGCCGCCGCTCTGCCCGGCGTCGTCGTCGTCCCGCGTGCGAGCGGCATCCCGGGAGCCGTCGGCCACGATGCATCCCCCGCTTACACCGGAGCTCAGCTTGCGATGCGTCCTCGCCAGGGCAACCTCGCTGCCGGTGGCTCGTCGAGAGGGCAGCTGGTGGAAGCCCGTGGCCGCCGGCGGCGGAGGCGTGGGCGTGGGCGTGAGCGAGCCCGCGTGGCGTCGTGACCGTTCCGAGTCTGAATCTGCGTCCTCGGGCCGCCGCCGAGACAAAATCCGCGAAATCCTCTTCATGGCGTTTTTTGTCGTCTGCAGTAGCCCATGGTGTTGGATTTCTCCCCAGCCTGCTAATTTACATGGGATGATGCTTCATGCGAATAAGAAAAAAAAAAGACCAAAAATATATTAAAAGAAGGAATTTACAGAAAAGACGGGGACAAAAGAAGAAAAGAAAATAGGTCGTTTCAAGCAGTTTGGTTTACAGTTTGGGAACTATGGAGTAACTACTGTGGCGATCAATAAATTTGTCAACCGGCACCTAGCCCGCCGGCCGTCTCCACGCTTCCCCCCCTCCTGCGGAAGATGGGATGGATGGTACAGGAAAATGCTCAAATGAATTGCGGGTGTAATAAGTCATTCTCCGATGAAATAGGTCCCGGAGGCGTTGACGTTGGCGAGCTGAGCCTGTTCGACCGGCGCTAAGGTTTCCTAGGGTCCTTTTGAAAGAGCGGATGAGGAGGCAGCCGTCGGTCGTTGGTAGAAGCACGGCGTTGCAGTATCGACCGACCAGTTGACCCCTGTTGGAAATTTTCCAGCGTCTAGGGAGCCCACCAGACCCTTGCCAATATGCCAATTAAACGGCGAATGACCCAGGAAGGTTGGGGACTTTGCACCCGTCGCTGCCGCGCCACCACCAGTCGAAAATGTCGCCGTCGCAGACGTCAGGCCGCGGACGTGAACAGGGCCTGGCGATTGGGGTTTTACGGTACATCGGGGGTTTGAAGGAGGGGGACCGCAAAACAAGTAGACACAGGGGAGATTGGCAATCTTTTTTTTTTCTTTGACATGTCAGTGGTGATTACGGAAGCAGTGACATGGTAATTTCGCACGTCCGAGTGGCTTGAAAAAATGAACTCCATGATAGGTTTTCCAGAAACTTGTGATTTCAAGCCAAATCCGCTACATAAGCTGGGTATAAAACAGGTTTACACATAGGACAGGGTATTGTCATCGTTGATCTTCCCAGCAACTCCGAGACGGGCTTCGCCACCAGACACACAGGGCCCGCGAGCCACAATCTGCAAGCCCAATGTTAGCCATCGTCATCAAGCTAGTAGGGCTGAGGGAACGGGTGAGCTGGTTACATACCTCGCCTTCGACGATATCGTCCGTAGTCTTGTGCTCTCCCATGTCCTTGAGGTAAATCTCAACTGACGACGGCGGGACACCAAAATGGGCCTTGATGCCAGGCGTGAGCCTGTAATCAAACAAGGCGGTTTGTGCAACAGCACCAGCGACTCTCGCCGCAGTCAAGGCATACACTACCCTTGCGCCGGTGTACACTCTCAAATCAGACAGTATCTGGGACGAAAGCAGCGGCGTGTCGCCGCCAACACGCTCCGCCACGTACACAAGACGCAACTTTCCAGGCGTCGGGCCAATGCGAGGGCGAGTACCGGCAGCAAAGGCAGAGAGAAGGTTTGTTCCCCCGTGGACGCCGCGCTGTGTGAGAGTGCTGGTAGCCAGGGAGTGTGAGAGCTTGGCGAGTCCACCACCGAGGCGGCGGGTGGATTCTTCATGCGTTCGAAGCAAGGTTGCTGGGCTGGCGACAATGACGGTAGGCGCTACACCCTGCGTGGCTAGAGCGAGATCTGGTGATCGGCCAGCCACCGAGTTGAATGCCACCGAGGCGTTGGAGTACAAGGCCGCGAGAGTGAGCGTCAGTGTGTGCATGTTGGAGAGCGACTCCGCGGGGAGGAACAGGTCAGCCTGAGTGAGGCGTTCTCTCGTGGGAATGGCTGCGATTTGACCAGATATGCCCGAAGCAAGATTCGCCTGCGTAAATCGCACCATTTCTTCCAATTCGCCTTGCTTACCTTGCCAGAAGGTAACAATGTCACCGGGGGCGCCGGCACTGTCCCCAGAAGCGGGCAACTCGGTCCCAGCTGCTGCAGGCGTATCGTTCACGATGTCCTGCCAGGTAGTCACGTTGACCGCTGAGCCCATGCCCTCGGGGACATCGTTCCAGTCCATGTGGCGACTGCCTTCATCCACGACCCAGATGAGCTGTCGGAGAGACGGGTATGCCTTAACCACAGCGTCGAGCGGGAATGATCCCGTGGCGGTGACAACAGTGTCGACAGCGGAGCGACGGAGCATAGAGATGAGTTCGGACTCGCTGACATTGAAAGGGATAAGCACCGCGGTGAGGTTCGGGTAAAACGAGCAGGCAAGAAGGGTGATGAGATGTTCGATAGAGTTGGGGAGATAGATGGCCACTTTGATGGAGCCTTGTTCAGCAATGTACCGACCGATAACATTAATCTGGCGATTGATGTCGTCTTCAAACGGCGTTAGCATAAAACGGTACTTGGTTAGAGTTGACTGTGGGAAGCCTTATGGGCGAACATAGATGGACGAAAGAAAGAAAGCAACCCACCCATCTTGTGTTCGACTACATTCTCTGATCCCAACACGGTCAACAGTCGTCCTCTGGCACCGGTATCACCGCTAACTGACTTCCTCCAGACGTCGCGCAAATCGCCATCCCGTCCGCGCGAAAATTTGGGAGCACCCGGATCCTTGACATTCAACCCAGCATTAAGCGTCATGCCATGCGGCGCAGACTGCGAGCGGTACACAGCACTCTCGCCTTCATTGCGGACCGACGACGGCACGGACTGTCTGGCGAGCAACAGAGGGTGGGCATCTGGCTCCGTTGCGGACATTATACGATAGGTGATGAGCACGACGAGCGTGGTCGCCAACACAGTCGAGTAGCCATTCCATTGGCCGAACAGATCCGTGATGGACGAGTCGAGCGATTCGAGGAGACCCATAATGAGGGCGATACGGAAGGGACGGTTTGTTGAGGAGGACGATTGGGCTGTTAGCTGCTTGCCCAGGCGACAGATGCGTCTGGTGTGCAATCTGCGACAGGAGTTGACGAAAGGCGCTCTCCAAAACCGGTGGGTTGTGGTTTGGGTTGTGGCTTCCGAGGCCAACGGAGACGGAAGTGGGGGAACTAAAGGGCTGATCGCTTATCTGAGCCGTCGACTGCAAGCGTCGAGCCATGAGCTGTCAGCCGTCAGCCGTCAGCCGTGGAAATGACGCGAGACGAGTGGGTGGCTGCCTCCAAACGGCTTCGGACGTATGGAGTTGAAGACTGCACTTTGACTGTCCAGATTGAGATTGGGCTGCCTGCGCCCGGTGCCACAAGCGGGTTGGGAGGATCGAGATAAGCTATCCCATGGAGCACAGTGAAGGCTCCAACATGGTATCTTCCAAGGATTATGGCCCATACATGTAAGCAGTTCTGCTGATTAGTATTTCCTATTATCTATCACCTTAAGCCTACCGGAAAAGAAGTCTCGACAACGCAGGCCAGGCTTGCATTTTACTACCGCGGAAAGGTCTGGTACTGTACTCGGTGTATATACGTGGGTTGGGACATGCCTACCTTGGTACCTACCAGTCTGGTTGGCAAAAGGAAGCAAGTAAGTCTGTCTAATGGTAATCTAGACTACCTACCTAGGTACCTAGTAGGTATAGGTACCTAGGTAGTTACTATAAAAAGCTATCAACCAGACTCCCTCTGCCTGAGAGCTACTAATACGAAAGTAGTGTTATAGCCCAGCTTGGGAAAGGGTTAGTCAAAAGCTTACATGCTCCCTATACGTTTTGCAGTCTGGTTTGGTAGATTGGGTTCAGATAGCATGTTTTAGCGCTGTGAATGGTGCTGGTGGTCTCTCATCGTGCAAGAAAAAACTAACTTGGACAACTTTTTCTGTTTGGACATTTATTGACGACCCACATGATTGAAAGACCCCTTAAAGGTCAAATCTAATAATAGAAAAAAAAAGGGTCAACTCAATCAAATACATACCTCTATTAACAAGACCTCTATTTTTGTATTCTAACCAGTTTGACACTTGATACGCCGATTCCAGCTTTACGAGAGCTGCCTGGCATCTATCAAACCACTTATCCGGAACGTAACAGCGGGCGACTTCCTTGCAGTTTTGCCTTGATGGGCGACCGCCCCCACAGGTACATTTTGCATGTGCTAACTTCACAGCGCCTACCTCCGTACACCAAGGACTAAATATTTTAACAGGATTAATAGATTTTTTATTAAATACCTAGAGATTTTAACTTTTAAGCTTTTAATTTAACCTTAACTATATGCTATTTTTAAGAATCAAGTACATTATTTATATCAATATAGTGCTATAAGTAAGAGTATTCTTGTACCTACCTATGTACCTACAGGTACCTAGAGTTGTACTGTGGGGTGTGGTAGTAATAAATGGGGCAAAATCGCACCCCGAGAGAAAAGTGGTCGCCCGCTATGAAACTCGCTGTAACCCCACTCTCGACGCGTCTGGAAAAGTTTTTTGTCCATTGCATCGCATCGCCAAACTTCGATCCTTTTGTTTCCCCTCGAGCAGACTTTAATCGACTATCAAGATGCGTGTAGTCCTTGTCAGCGGCGGTGTCATCTCTGGCGTGGGAAAGGGTACGTCCATAGCATTTGTCCCCGAGGTTCACGCAGTAATATGTTGTCAGCACTATCATACTGACTTATTGGGGAATACTTAGGCATTATCGGTAATAGCAGCATTCTAGCACGCCATTCCCTTCTTTTGCAATCGCTGACAAGTTCTCATAGCCAGTAGTTCTGGGCTTCTTCTCAAAACCCTTGGCCTACGAGTCACCGTACGTCAACACCATCACGATCGCCAAATGTACAATTTTACACTCACACCGCGAGTTACAGGCCCAGAAACTTGACCCATATCTCAACACCGATGCTGGATTGTTGAACCCTCTAGAGCAAGACTCCCCGACTACTTTCCGATCCTCTCACGATACAAACATCGGCTGACCGAACTATCAGGCATGGAGAATGCTTCGTTCTTGCGGACGGCGGAGAGACAGATCTCGACCTCGGCAACTACGAACGGTATGTGCTGCAACGTCTGGCACTGGCAAAGGCCCTGCTAATGTAATACTCAGGTATCTCGGCATTCAACTTAGCAACGAGAGCAACATGACCACTGGCAAAATCTACA